ACACAAAAACGTGGGGTGGCCCCCACTCATGTGGGAGGTCATCCCTTTGTGTCCCGGTGTGTACAATCGGTCCCGAAAGTTGTATTTTTCGGACTGTTTTAATCATATTTTATTTTATCGGGTAAAATAAAATATATTATGCATTCTCAATCATAACGACCCTTTGAAATAATGTATATTCCAAAACTTTAATTTAAGAGTCTCCGAAATTCATTTTCGGGCTGTTATCTGTTAAATTGTCGGTATCGGTAATTGGGCCTCTTTTGCCCAATCGGTCAACTCTGCGCCTTTCCACGACCCCAAATAAAATATCCACCACCATATAAATATTATCTTGACCAAGATGAATAAAATATGTGGTCTCGGGAATGTCGGGCGGCCCCCGCTCCCGGTGTGGGTCCCACGTGCAATTTACTATTCACGCGAAAGAAATAATAAAATTTTACAACTTTGTAAATTCATTAATCCTTTAATAAGGTTCAATACATTATTTACATAGAAGTAAATATATTTGGGGACGGTGTTACAAGTTCACCCCCCCTTAATTGGGATTTCGTCCCCGAAATCCAAGTATCTAATCGAAAAGAAACGGGTATTGCTCCCTCATTGAGACCTCGGTCTCCCATGTTTCTTCTTCGACTCGATCACTCCTCCAAAGAACCTTCACCATAGGAATCTCCTTGTTCCTAAGTTTCTTCACTTGTTGACCAACAATCTTCATTGGTTCCACCGCATATTGCAAGTCCTCACGGATCTCTACCGGTGGTTTCTCAAGAATATGAGATGGGTCTCGTATGTACTTCTTGAGCATCGATACATGAAACACGTCATGTATCTTCTCAAGTTCCGGTGTCAACTTGAGACGATAAGCCACGGCTCCAATCCTTTCAAGGATTTCAAATGGACCAATGTATCGGGGGTTAAGCTTTCCCCTCGATACAAATCGAATGATGCCCTTCCAAGGAGAAATCCTTAGGAAGACCTCATCACCGACTTCGAACTCCAACGGTCTCCGCCGTTTATCAGCATAACTCTTCTGTCGGTCCTGAGCAGCCTTCAATCTATCCCGAATGATCCTTACCTTGGCCTTGGTGATCTCAACCAGCTCTATCCCTTCGAGTTTGGCCTCGCCAACCTCGTCCCAACACAACGGTGTTCTGCACTTCCTCCCATACAATGCCTCGTATGGAGGCATGCCAATACTTGCTTGATAACTGTTGTTATAAGCAAACTCCACTAGAGCCAAATGTTTGTCCCAACTTCCTTGGAACTCCAAGGCACATGCTCTAAGCATATCTTCCAAAATCTGTATCACCCGCTCGGACTGTCCATCCGTCTGTGGGTGAAAAGCTGTGCTAAACTTCAGTTTAGTACCCAACGATGCTTAAAACTTTGGCCAAAATCGGGATGTGAATCGTGGATCCCTATCCGAGACAATGGATATTGGGACTCCATGTAATCTCACGATCTCCTCCGTGTATAGCTTGGCCAACCTTTCAAGGGGATAAGTAATGTTGATAGGCAGAAAGTGTGCACTCTTGGTGAGCCTATCAACTACCACCCATACTGCATCGTAGTTGTTCACTGTTCGTGGTAGCCCCACCACGAAGTCCATGGTCACATGTTCCCACTTCCACTCTGGGATGGTGAGTGGTTGTAAGAGCCCTGCTGGGTGCTGATGCTCTGCCTTAACTTGTTGGCAAGTAAGGCATCGACTCACAAACTCCGCAATATCCTTCTTCATGCCTGACCACCAGTAACTTTCCTTCAGATCTCGGTACATCTTAGTACCCCCTGGATGCATGGCATATGCTGAAGAATGAGCCTCCTCAAGTATAGCCCTATGGAGCTCCTCATTCTTTGGTATGCACACACGATCCTTAAATAATAAAAGACCGTCATCACGTACCCGAAAATTCTCGACGGGCCCCTCAAGGATCCGTTCGCGGATCTTTTGACATTCCTCATCAATGGCCTGACATCTACTGATCTCACTCAGCAATGTAGGCCTCACCTCGAATCTAGCAATGAGCGCCCCGCTCGTGGATACCTCCACGCGTGCCCTTAACACTCGTAGACAAGTAAGTATCGTCCCTGACGTACTCTTCCTGCTCAGTGCGTCGGCCACTACATTGGCCTTTCCGGGATGATAGTCGATGATCAAGTCATAGTCCTTGATCAACTCCATCCATCTCCTCTGCCTCATATTCAACTCTTTCTGAGTGAATACATACTCCAAGCTCTTATGATCGGTATAAATGTGACACGTCTCCCCGTAGAGATAATGCCTCCAAATCTTTAATGCAAACACTACCGCCCCCAACTCTAGATCGTGGGTAGGGTAGTTCACCTCGTGTTTCCTCAATTGCCTAGAAGCATAGGCAATCACCTTACCGTTTTGCATTAGTACACATCCAAGCCCTTGGATGCTAGCATCGCTGTAAATGTCATACCCTATCCCCTGTATGGGTAGGGCAAGGACTGGTGCTTCGGTAAGTCGTTTCTTGAGTTCAAGGAACCCTTTCTCACACTTGTCATCCCATATGAACTTGGCCCCTTTCTTTGTGAGCTTTGTTAATGGAGACGCCAATACGGAGAATTTTTCAACAAATTTACGATAGTATCCCGCTAAGCCAAGGAAACTACGTATCTCTTTCACATTCTTGGGTCTCTCCCAATCCATGACAGCTTTTATCTTGGCGTTATCCACAGCTACGCCCGAACCGGATATGACGTGACCGAGAAAACCAATCTCCTTGAGCCAAAATTCGCATTTAGAGAACTTGGCAAAGAGTTGCTTTTCCCTTAGCCGATCAAATATAAGCCTCAAATGATGTTCGTGCTCCTCCTCACTCTTGGAGTATATCAAGATATCATCAATGAATACTATCACAAATTGATCTAAGTATTCACTAAACACCCGGTTCATCAAGTCCATGAATGCTGCCGGTGCATTGGTTAAACCAAATGACATCACAAGAAACTCGTAGTGACCATATCTAGTGCGAAATGCACTCTTAGGTATGTCGCTCTCCTTGATCTTCAACTGATGATACCCCGATCTCAAGTCAATCTTCGAGAATACTATGGCCCCTCGAAGTTGATCAAACAAGTCATCAATCCTAGGTAAAGGATACCTGTTCTTGATTGTGACCTTGTTCAACTGTCGGTAGTCGATACACATTCTTAGCGTACCATCTTTCTTCTTTACGAAGAGTACGGGTGCTCCCCACGGTGAATGACTGGGTGTGATGAACCCGTTGTCCAGTAGCTCTTGTAGTTGGACCTTCAACTCTTGAAGTTCGGCCGGTGCCATTCGATAAGGAGGAATCGAAATGGGTTTGGTTCCCGGCTCCACTTCGATTACAAATTCAATCTCTCTATCGGGTCGAAGCCCCGGTAGGTCCTTGGGAAAGACGTCCGGGTACTTGCACATGACTCGAACATCCTTGATGTCGACTTCTTTCTTCGTATCATCTATCACGTAAGCAAGGTATGTGTGGCATCCCTTCCTCATCATCTTTCGTGCTCTCATCACGGATATGATACAAGCATTAGATTTTCCCCGATCTCCTTCAAAACGTAGCATATTCCCTTGATCATCCTCAAGCTCCAACACCTTGGTGTAGCAATCCACTCGGGCATGGTGTTTCTCGAGCCAATCCATCCCTAGGATTGCATCGAACTCCAACATGCTCAGAGGTACGAAATCACAAGTCAAAGGTTGACCCGTCACTTCTACCTCACACGAGGGATAGTAATGATCCCTCTCCACGTCGTCTCCTAATGGTGTGGAGACTAGCAATGTTTGTGTCATAGGCGTCAATGGCACGTCGAGCCCCTCAGCAAACGCCTCACTCACAAATGAGCGTTGTGCCCCGGTATCGATGAGGATCCTCGCACACCTACCATTGATCTTTAATGTTCCTACATTTATACACCATGTAAGATACATTTTCTAATGTTTTTACACACCTTTAGGAGGTTATTAGGTTCATACTAATGTTTGGAATCAAACGGGGGTCCAAACGTAGAAGAACGGGGCGAAAAAATCGACTTTCGGGTGGTGGGGGTCCACGCACGGCGTGCCTGGGTGGCACGCACGGCCGTGCGTGCAACAAACTCACCCTGCTGGCCACTGCCGGCCAGGCACGATGCCAGGCACGGCATGCCTGCGGCCGTGCCTGGCCAAAATTTCCTTCGGACGCCACTGCCTTCCAGGCACGACGCCAGGCACGGCGTGCCTGCGGCCGTGCCTGGCCCAATTTTTTTTTTTTTTCTCTTCGGGTGCCACTGCCCTCCAGGCACGACGCCAGGCACGGCGTGCCTGCGGGCGTGCCTGGCCAGCAGTGGCTGTTTCCAGTCCGATTCGGCCTAACTCACCCGGTTCGACCCCGGGGTGGCCCGCACTCAATCCCAACGACGTATATGATCAAAGTAAGCCTAGAAATACATGGGAATACGTGTATTACCTGCAACGGAGTCCGGGTTTGCTCTCGCATCCGCCTCGGTCATCGCGTACACTCGGGCTTGGGTCCCACCTTGGTTGACGGATGCGGCATGGCTTGTGGATGCGCCGCCTCTTCCCGTGCCGCCGTTTGACGGTCCCGCACGGTTCCTTCCCGTCATGGTCCCTCCCCCGGCTCCCGAGGCACTCTCTTGCATCAATTGAGGGCAATTGGACTTCATATGGCCCGCATTCCTGCACTTAAAACACCTCGGTGGTTCATTGCACTTCCCAAAGTGTTGTTTTGAGCAATTGGGACATCTAGGTGGCCCCGAGTTCTGTGGCCTAGGTCCGTGCCACCTCGCATCCCTATTCTTCTTTGCCGGTGGAGCCGGCGTCTTGAATGAACCACCGCCACCACCCCCGTGGTTGTTCCTTCGAGAATGATCGGGTGGCCCCGAATTATTCCACTTCCTCTTCTTCGCCTCTTCGGCGTCCCTTGCTTTCCTCTCATTCCACTGGGCCTCTCCAAGAAGACCCTGTTCCACCACCTCGCTAAATGACATGTGGCGAGAGTACGTAGCTCGGTCACGGATATCCAAGAGTAATGCATCCCAGAAGTGCTCCGTCATGCGGTTCTCATCAACCGCGTACTCTGGCAAGAACCTCGCCAAGGTTCTAAACTCTTGTTCCAGCTGCTTAACCGTGCCGCCATCTTTCTGTTTGAGGTTAGTGTACTCTCTCCGTTTCACATTCACCTCGTACTCGGAGTAGTATTGAGCATAGAACTCTAGCTCAAAGTCCGCCCATGTTATTTCACCATGGTACTTTCCTTCCACGCTCTCCCACCACGTAGAGGCTATCCCTTCAAGTAGCCGTGAAGCGACAGTCAACTTCACGTCCGGTGTGATTTGCATGTCTCTTGATGCATCCTTCACCTTCTTAATCCAATCGGCGGCAACGGTAATGTCACCGGTGCCGTCAAAGGACCTACACCCCAAGGCCCTAGCCTCCTTGAGGTACTTGGAGATTCTCACAACAAAACCTCCTTCACGCCCACCTTGTGACGCCGCTGGGGTGGCCACGGAAGCTCCCCGGCTCCCTTGACCCGAACCACCACGAGAGCCACGCCTCGCTTGGCGCCTAAGGTCTCTCCTCAGTTTCTCCTTTTGATACCACTCAAGTAATTCACCCATTTGGGCGAAGCGGGCATCACTTTCATCATTGTCCTCATCGGTGTATGTGTCACCCCCATCATATGGGGTCTCCTCATGCTCTGTCTCAGGAACATACGTAGAGTCATAGTCCTCGGTGTTGGTTTCATACACCGAGCTTACATGGCCATCACTCACAGTTTAAGCTTGATGACCTCCACGGCTTCCACGGCCTCCACGGCCTCCTCTTGAACCCCGAGATGCAGCCCGGCTTCCCCTTTGGGATGTTACCGGCGCCTGCCCCCTCGGATTGTTCCTGGTCCGCATTCGCCTGCCCTCCATTTCTGAAAGAAATATGGATGAGTCATTAGACTCCTATAAATGTCAATTGACGGAAAAACGTTACAGACACATTTGGCCCAAGTCACCACCATACCAATTGTTAAGGGTACCGTCTTAACAATTAGAGGCCTTGCAACTTAAGCTCCAATAGTCCCATAAACGTCAAAATCCAATGCTCATGGTTTTCGGTAAAAACTCTTTCGTAAAATCTCATGTGAGAGGTTGATTATTTAGTTTAGAACTGAGATGGCTTTGATACCACTTAATTGTCACGCCCCAGACCGCAATCCAAGCGCGTGTACAACCGCCGTATAATCAAGTGACGTCACCCGCGAGTCAACCTCACTTGATTACACAAGGCGTTCGAGGAAATAATCCATCCATACTCAGTAGTAAACATACATAACAACATCACATTTAAACCAATGAATAGCGGAAATATTCAACGGTAAGTCATAAGCCACAGCCGGCCAATAACATGGGCATGCAAGCCCCAAAAGAATAGTTTATGACAAATAAAAATATCCATGAGCAATGTTTGGTAATTTGAAATAAAATGAGGAAGCACGAACCACGTCTTCCTTGATTTGATGTCACCCGTAGAAAGGTGCAGGTAGCAAGCCCTAGCTTCAACCTGAAAATGGTGGGGCCCCCCGAAGGGGTCAGTACAAGTACCGAGCGAGTAGCAGGCTAAATATAGAATAACTATCGTTTCAAGTATAAGACCCAAACATAGGGTGATACATATACGTATAGTCCTCTTCCCAAGTTTGAGATACATATTAGTATACATACACTTGGAAATACCCGACCCGTAGGTCATTGTTTATTTGGGAAAATAATAGTAGCCAATATCCTTGACTTAAATCCCAACCCACCCATATACCTATGAGTGTATAGAACTCCTCCTTGTTCAAATAAATTATCATAAGGACACCACCCGGTCCTAGATCATTAAATGTAATCTATGAGTTTTGAGGATACACGCCCGATCCTTGGGTACTCCACCCTATAACCGAGTTTTGAGGATAACCGCCCGATCCTTGGGTACTCCACCCTATATAACCGAGTTTTGAGGATAACCGCCCGATCCTTGGGTACTCCACCCTATATAACCGAGTTTTAAGGTTAACCGCCCGATCCTTGGGTACTCCACCCTATATAACTGAGTTTTGAGGATAACCGCCCGATCCTTGGGTACTCCACCCGACCTATGACTTACCACATATCACGCTAGATAGGGTCTATATCATATTTAGTCATTCATAACTAATTCACTACATAAAGCTTATGTATCACAATCCATGCAAATCCATGCAATTATATAAATGTACAATTAACTAATATCAACCGACATTAATTAATCCATTATCCATCGGTCAACGTTGTCGTTGACCGCCATTCAAGCCTTGTACATATCAACTTAATCATCATATAATTAAGTTAATAATAATCATTTGTGCTTCTTTGACATTCCCAACAAATATGCATTTCATATTATTTCTCATATCATGTTTCATGTATAAACAATTAATTCTTTTCATACAAACTTATCTATGTTGGCTAATCACATGTTTAAATATCTTTTAAACATCATTATGAACACTTATAACATTTATTTAGGTAATCTTATAATTAATCCAAAAGTTATAAGATATTAAGCCGTCCACTCACCTTGAACTAGCGTATGAAGTTCTACCCTTCTTGGTTGAACTCCGGTGAAACTCCGGCGACTTTTGGTCAACTCCGGCGACAATTCCGGCGACTTTTCCAACTTTGTGAAATCACTTGAAATACCCTTTACAAGTGCCTAACAAGGTTTTAACATCATAAAACCTTAATCAATACGAATAACCTATAAAAGGTTATTTTCCGGTGAACCGGTCGTTTTGGCTTCTAAGTCCGTTCTTGGACATAGAATCACTTCCCAACCCATAAATCCATACTTATAATATGTGGAACCATACAAAGGGTCCTTCATGTGATATATATCTCATATTGTAAAGGAAAAATAGAGGAAAAGTTATAATAAGGTCATTACCTTAATTATTCACACTTTTCCCAACTTTTTCTCTCTTTAATCTTCCTCTTTTGGACCTTCCTTCCCTGAGCTCGTATCCAGCTATGGAAGATGAATACTTGCAGAGTTTTTCCTCTCAAAATGGGGTGCTTGGGCGTGGTAGATGATTGGGGTGAGTGAGAATGGTTCATTTTGTCTTAATTGGCAAATAAATGAGGGTGGGGGTCCTCCTAGGTACTTTAGATGCCAAAACTATCTCCTCAACCCCCCTCTCTTGTCTATCCAGCTCCCCTTGGTTAATTAGAGCACACAAAAACGTGGGGTGGCCCCCACTCATGTGGGAGGTCATCCCTTTGTGTCCCGGTGTGTACAATCGGTCCCGAAAGTTGTATTTTTCGGACTGTTTTAATCATATTTTATTTTATCGGGTAAAATAAAATATATTATGCATTCTCAATCATAACGACCCTTTGAAATAATGTATATTCCAAAACTTTAATTTAAGAGTCTCCGAAATTCATTTTCGGGCTGTTATCTGTTAAATTGTCGGTATCGGTAATTGGGCCTCTTTTGCCCAATCGGTCAACTCTGCGCCTTTCCACGACCCCAAATAAAATATACACCACCATATAAATATTATCTTGACCAAGATGAATAAAATATGTGGTCTCGGGAATGTCGGGCGGCCCCCGCTCCCGGTGTGGGTCCCACGTGCAATTTACTATTCACGCGAAAGAAATAATAAAATTTTACAACTTCGTAAATTCATTAATCCTTTAATAAGGTTCAATACATTATTTACATAGAAGTAAATATATTTGGGGACGGTGTTACAATTTGTGCATGATATTTATTGAGAAACTCTCTGAGCTGCCAACTCCGACACATTTCGTACTGCTCCGCCTCCACTCTAAGATCATCCCATTCTGTCCACTGGCGGGGCCATTTGTCATAAACAAGAATTTCTTCAAGTTCATCGGGTGTTTGATCATTGTAGTAGCTGGAGGGATCCTACTGCTGCTGTGGCGATATGTCTGGCGTAGCATCGGGATCCTGGTGAGACTTGCAGGGATCCTCAATTATCTCAACACCATGCTCTTGCGCAGAGACCAGACCTCTATACTTCGTTACATGCGGCCAATCCTCCCTTGGCTGAGAAAGTGAAACACCGGGATCCTCAGGATTGCCCGTTGACATCAGTTTCGAACTAGGTTCTAACTGATGGCCTGAGTAGGAAGATGTACTCGTGGTAGCATCATCAGGACTTCCATTCCGTCCTTGGTTAACATCTATAGGAGATGCACCTCGGGATGTTACGTCTAGCTCGACCATGCTAGAAAGAGTGGCTAGGGATTTATGGCTGGCTGAAGTAGTGGGTTGCTCATTGGTAGAGGTGGAGGGTTGGTTTGGCTTTGAGGGTTGGCTAGTAGAAGCAACATGCTCAAGTATCCGCTGGCGCTTGTTCTCCCCCTCATGAGAATCCGAATCATCGGGATCCTCATGTGAACGTTTAGCGCCACGGAGACTGTCACGGCATGTGTTCTGTGTATCTAGAGCATGGAGAAGGGCTTTTTGAAGAGGGGTGAGGTTGCCTTCTTCCACGTCGAGTATACGGTCGTAGATCTCAGCTACAAGATCCTCGAAGGGTACAGTTGTTAGGTTGGGTTTGGTCGTTGTAGGGGAGAATACTAGTTCTGTATCCTGGGTTCCCCTTGATGTGGATGGTTGTTGGTTTTCTATGGCTAAAGGTTTGGAAATAGGAATAGAAATGGTTGGGGGCTGTGTCGTTTGAGGTTTGGGTGGTATATCCTGAACAACTGGGGTACTTCCAGAGTCTTGTGCATTAGCGGTTATTGCTTCATGCACCCATGGCTTAATGGTAGACTCTAGAAAGCTGTTCAGATATACGAGAATGTCTTCGGGGATAATGGTTCCAGTTACAGGGGTTGTAACTGTTGTCACAGCATCAGTGAAGATAGCTGATGTGTGGCCTGCGTTCAATGATCGAGGCATTGTTGGCGTAGCAGGACTTCCGACCATCATAGTTTGCACTCCGGTCGTTGCATTCAGGGTGAGTGCACCTGTATGTGCAGTGAATAGTGTCGGTGTCCTAGAGAAATTTAAAAATGTAGGAATGGTGACACCTAGACTCGATGTGATAGAACGGATGGGGGTAGTGGTCCGGGGCTGCTGACCACTAAGTCTCTCAGCAGATTCGGAAGGAATCAGTGAGGTCGGTGTAAGTTCCCCTTGAGTTATTGAAACTCCAGTCTGTTGGGAGACTGGAGAGTGGATGGGAGATGGCTGTGCATGCGCAGTTGAACCAGATGCTGCGACTTCTACCCGGGAACTGACAAGGTCAGCTCCTGCTCCTAGGGGCGTGGTTCGGTCTATGGTGACAAAGGTGTCGCAGTCATCGTACAGTGCCAACTCCTCCTCCACTGCACTTTTCTTTCTGAGCCTCTTCTTAGGCTGTGATGATGCAGATTTGTCGCTGTTGTGCTTGGAGCGCTGCTCACTGATGACAATGCCCTTAAGTGGTCGGGACATGTGAGCAGCCTCTTCATTGTCCGATGAGGAGTCGGAGTCTATCGGAATGGCTCTCTTTCCGGCTCTTTTCCTGTTGCTGATCAGGACTCCCTCCATGTCATCATCATCATCTGCATCATCATCATCATCATCATCATCTCTTCGTTCATTTCCCTTGGCCATGCTATCGGAGGCCTCACCACCAGCCTTATTAGAAGGGGCCTGGCTTGATGGTTCATCGGCAGTGTCCTCAGCATTAGGGTGGCCCTCAGCAGTCTGGGTCCTCTCGGAAGAGTTAGCAGACTGATCATCATTAGGCCGGGTTGCCACTGGTTTCTGTGGCGGGGCTCTCTTCTTCTTACTACCCTCACTTGGCTTGGTCCCTTGGGAAGGTCCAGCTGGGTTTTGCTGAACCATAGGAACCGTTCTCTTCAATGACTCTTTGTAGTCGATGACTGCCTTATCCCTCGGGTTTGCTAGATCAAGCAGTGAGTCCGGGATATGCAGTGCTTCAGCCTTGTTGCTGTCTCTCTGAAAGTACTTGAGCTTCGGAGCGGTGAAGTGCTTGTCTTCCTTGCGCTTAGGGATTGTGGGGGTGGCTTCCAACATGTTGTGGATCATCAACGCCAGCCACCGAGCGTAGGGGATGGTGTTTCCTTTGTTGTTCTCTTTAATCTTCACTTGATCCATCAGCTCTGTCCAGAAGAGCTGGGCCATGTCGTAGTTCATATCAAAGGCAATCCCATGGAAGATTTGCAAAATTTGCTTGTTGCACTTGTCGTGTCCGGCGTGCTTAGGAGACAAGCATTTGTTGACCAGGCCGAACAGACTCTTCCATGGGTGAGGAAGATTTGAGATTGTGAAGTTTGACAGCAATGGCAGTGGGCTGTCATATCCCAGATCTTTCATCCTCTTGATCAGTTCTTCGTTGGAGGGGAGTGGTGCGTAGCTCTGGTGCACTGGGAGCTTCAGGGTCTCCCGGATTGTAGATGGTGTCAGCACCACCCTTTTGTCACCCAATTTGGTCATGATTTTGGACCGATCCTTCTTGCTCTCAGTTCGCATGCAGCCCCAGAATTGCTGCAGGTATACCTCTGGCACCGGTTTGGCTTCATTGAATGCAAACCAGAGGTAGTGCTTCTGTAGAATAGAGAGGATGACCGGGTCCTGACATTTGAAGAGCTTCAGGTCCAATTAGAAGTTGTTGTCGTAAAGTGGGACCCAATTCTCTTTTAGGTACAGTTCATTGCCTGATTGTGCAGTTATGTCTGTTCCTGTCATGATTGACTGAAAGAAATGGGTCAGCACAATTGTTCACATGAAAAGTTTTATTTTTGTTCTGTTTTTTTTTTTTAATTTTTCAAAACAGGTGTGTACAGGTGAAACCTCGAAAAATATTCTAAGTGTAACCCACGAGAACCACCTTCGATATTTGAACTTTGAGAAGTGGGTTCTCGAGATTTAAATACCGAGAAGCTCTTCTCGATATTCCAATATCGAGAACTTAGTTCTCAATATGAGAATGTCGAAAAGTCCTCGAGATTTAAACTTCGAGAACTTCCTTTCTCGATGTTTAAATATCGAGAACCGCTTCTCGGTATTTCAAACTTCGAGAAGTAGGTTCTCGGTATTTAAACATCGAAAAGACCTTTTCGAGGTTCAAATATCGAGAACTGACTTTCGAGCTTTGAAATATCGAGAAACAAATCCTCGAGTTCAAATATCGAGAAAAATGTATTCTCGAGTTCGCACTGAGAGATATGTCGAGAAACCACCTGCAATAACACATTCATAATGATAACAAAATAAAACTTTTCGAATTCAAAATTCCAAGTTCGAGAAAAATAGTCCTCGAGATCCAACTCCGAGAAAACTTTCTCGAGTGAGATTCGAGAGCTCGTTTTGAAGTGCGAAAATCACTGTTATTGAGTTCTTCAGGATTGAACTCCATTATTTCTACCTTTTGAACGGATTCGAGAAGATTGAGTTCGAGAAAAGAATTGCGAGAAAGCTCTTGAGACTTCGAGAAGTAGAATGCGAGAAAGTGAGATAATTCGAAAACTCCCTTTCTCGAAGTCCCTTTTATATGCGAGAAAATTTGGGTTTTGGGCCTTGCGGAAAGATTCTGGGCCCGATTGTGTGAGTTGGGCCCAGTTATTTTTGAAATTATTTTGGGCCCCAAAGAATTATTTATGTGTGAAAATTGAACTCCCCCTCGAACAGTACATGAAAAAAAATGAAAAACACACACACACTTGCATTTGTACACACACTCATTTTCTTCCTGACACACACACACTCTTTTTCTTCTTTTCTGATTTTCTCTCACACACACACACTCTTTTTCTGATTTTCTTATTTTCTCACACACACACACTCTTTTTCTGATTTTCTTCTTTTCTCCCCCTCAAAGTATTCCTCTCTTTTATTTTCTCCCTTTTCTCCCCCTCAACACATGCAACGCACACCACGCACACTCACACATTTTATTCAGACCATGGAGATAACACAATTACATAGGATCGAAGTTCAACATGCCTAACTTAGATACTAGGAACTGGAATCTCTTTTCATCCAAAGCCTTAGTAAATATGTCAGCCAGTTGAAGCTCGGTGCTAACAAAGTACAAATC